AAAAAAAAACCCTCACAGCATTTATTAATTGGTTATTAAATTAAGTTTATTTCGGCATTCGACAGGAGACAAAGCCCTCAATAAAAATTAAGTCACTTTTCAACATGTACATACTCAAACTGGTATGTCTCCTATAGAACATCATCAACACCCATTGCTTTTTTTCTTGGGGACGGACACGATAAATAAAGAGCTTACATTTACTCCAAACTCCTTTTCTTCTAGTTAGCTACAGATATAAAGATTTATTGCTAAGGATAGAGTGCTTATCTCTCCAAAGAAAAAAAATAAGTGAGTGCACTGTTGCTTTTCCACAATTCCCTAATAAAGAATAGCTTCGAGCTCCCTCCCTCCCCTCATCACAGCAATAAAAACCACCAAAAAACCCCTGAAGAACTGAGAAACAGATTAACATACAAATGTGTTAAGGAAGGACTATTTTTAAAGCAGTGATGCAATCCAAGAAGTGACCACATTCAGCAGGCCTTTAAGGAGAAAGGAAAACTATCAAACAAGGAGTTGCATGATGCCACCAGGCAACAGGTTATTGAAATTGCTGGGTACAAGAATGCATCATCTTAACATTTTTAGCGGTGAAAAGCAGTCAGACCTTCAGCGGTGCAGAGACGGCTGCACTAATCCTTCCAGCAGTCCTGTCTATACAACCACACCGAGCCAACATGTCCTGCGACTCCCATCTTCCAGCCTGTATCCATCTCAGTAACTCTACATTAAATGGAGAGACATAGTCTGTCTTTTAGACAAGCCATAAAAGCATCAATAAAATGAGAAAAAAAAAATCAAAAGCACTGCTTCATAAGCAATTTTTAATGTCAAATAATAATAATTAAAAAAAGACAAAAAACCCCAAGCCAAAGAGAGATGTCCTGAGCCCAAAAGCTCAAAACGCATGTCCCCTCCTAACCTGGGATTGTTCACATTTGCTAGCTGCTTCAAAAAACAACTCAAATGTCTGTTCTAGACTTTAAACACAGGGTTGTCTTGCACTAACAACCTCTGCAGTAAACTGAATTACAACATATGACCATAAGAAGGAGGAAAAAAAAAAAAAATAGAAACACCATCAGATATAGAGAAATCGTATTCTAACTCCCTGTGCTTATGAGGAATACTTGAACCTGGCATTCAAAAGTTTCTTTTGCTGTTTAATGTTCCATGGGAATCATCTGATGTTTGTGCAGACAACCGAAACCCCTCCTGCGGTCTCAAACAGTTTAGTGATTAAAAATAACATTTCTTCTGCATGTTTTAAGGATAGAGGAAAGAACTGCAGAAGAAAGACTCTTCTGTCTATTACACCATCTGGTGCTATCTAAAGTCACAAATCTGAATCTACAATAACCTTACAGAAAGCTGTGGTATGCAAGATCAGGGTATGTCACTGTAGGGCACTGAATATTAAAATTGCCATTTTACATCACCCGCAAGAAACTTTCCCAAGTCAATACACCATGTTCTTTGTTTCATGTACATAAAATAAAATATTTAGCAAGAAGGTCATAAATTGTCCTTTAGCATGCATCTTTACGTGTCTATTTTATCATCAGGAAGCAAAAAAAAAAGCAATCTTTGCATTTTATTAAGTAAACACCCCTGAGTAAAGAGGCTGATATCCACTGTCTTCTCTCTTGCAAGTAAGCACGCAGACACTCAGCATGCCAAAGAACTGAAAAAGAGAGAGGGGGAGAGAGAGATGTAATTCTGCTGTATTTTGTTTCAGTCATCAGACCCAACACCTATATGTTCATTAGACTTTTTCATCGTAGCAAGGACATTCTTTTCATATTAAAAAACACTTAGAAAATACATCTACGGAATGTGATTTTTTTGCATATCAATTTCCAATAATAGTTCCAGCTCAACTTTTTCCTCCCTGGTTTCTCCCATTAATATACACATCCACATTAATTCCTAGTTATCTTACTGTGGGAAAAATTTCAGTGAAAGCATGGGATTATTCTGGACTTAAAATGAGTTCTGTAAAATATTTAAGCGTATAAAGTATGCAAATAAAGGTAGTGCAGAATATGCTAAGGCAATCTTTAGATTATCGCAGGAGAGATCCCGGTGGGACAATTCATCACAAATAGTAACAGGACAGGTAAAGGGAGTGTAGAACTCATCGCTTTTATAGAGGGAAGGGAAATGATGGAAACGACGTCGCTGAGCCATTTAAGCCCATGAGATCAAATGCTGTGAACCATCACCTCTCTGCTAGGGCCGAAATTAAGAAAACGAAAGTTTAATTAAGGCAAGCCCCAGTCCTGGGATGACATCTGGACAGATTTTGGCTTCTGCATTGAGTTCAGGAGTGGGGTGTTAAACAGTAAGTGTTCTGCACTGGCTCACCTTACAGCTGCTCTTTTATAGAGAGCAGATACTCAAAGAAAAAACACTTTGCTGTTATTAAATGGTTCAAATCTCTGTCAACGAGGAACAGGTTACTAATCTTGGAGAACAGGTACAGGGGACAATGACAAACCACCAGGCTAAAACTTATGGGTCAAATCTTTCAAGAAATGCCTACGCAACTTTGTGATGTGCCAACTGCGAGGAGTTTTACGTCAGGGCTTTTCAAATCTAGTTTTCACCCACAAGATGATATGGTTTCACATTTCATTTAATTCAACGTTGTAAGTCTATAAATAGCCCCACTGTTTTCATTCCTAGTTATTTCTAGTCCATTTGGATTCCAGGTCTCTAAGCACAGGAGTATTCATTGGGTTATATGTGAAAAACAAACTTTGATGAGCAATTTTTAAAATCCCAGTTAAATATAGCAAAGCTGGTTGTTTTAATACAGACTTCTAGATCTAGGCCTTTTAAGCACACCCAGCTTTTTGTACTTCCTACCAAGTGACCAAGATGGATTCTCCGTTGACTTGCCATCTCAAATCCCCTAGTAGAATTTTGGATCCCTCCTCTTATCATGCAGACGAAATGGAGAAAGTTGGAAGAAAACAAGTGAGGGACAGAGGACTGGGTGGTCTACTTCAGAGGCAGAAATAGGCTGTAGGCTAATAGGACATAGTAGAAGAAAAAGCCCTGGGATCAAATGATAAACAGTATTATTTTCCATGAGGGAAGAGATAAAACATTTACCTTTACAATGGCAAACCCCAGGATTACAAGCATGGCATAGCTGATCACGCTCTGCAGCCCAGACTCCAGCTCCTCTGCACAGCCCTGCCATGAAAAAGATGGGTGAAAACCAATCAAAAGACATAATTCAGCTGGATGTTTTTTGGGTTTTTTTTTCCCTTCTCAACACTTAAAAGGAAGCAGGACTTTGTAGGGCCTGTCTAACCAACCACTGCAGACCTGAGGGCTTCCATTCTTGTCTTCCAGACCCAATAGCTTGTCATTCACCTCTTGCCTGGGGAGAGGCACTGACATTTGCTGCTTCGCAGAATCTCCTCCAGTTCAGGTCACTTAAAGAAGTGCCCAAAACTCAGAGCCAGGAAGACCAGCAATGGTAACTATAAAAGGCAACTTATGGGCTTGTGCCCCAGACTGAAGAACCTGGTATGCAATTCTCCAGATTCATGGTCAATCCTAGAAGAGTCTCTTCCCCTACCCTAGATCTGTTTGAACAACTACGTGCCCATAGCTAGTGCTCTGGCCTTGTCATGTTGCTTCTGTAGCAACACGAAATGGAGGACTGTTACCAGCAGACAGACAAGACCAAACATTCAGACTGGTGCTCCTCCTTCATCATCTAGGAGCTTTTATAGAATAATATGAAAAGGAAATTAGCTAGAGGAAAACCATGGGGAGAAAAGAGTTTGGGGGACAAATGGCTGAGAAGAATTGGATGAAGTTATCCCTAAACGCTGTCTAAAGTGCTTTCTTCATTGGTTCTGGCTGGCTGAGAATGATCATGGCCCAGCTGTGAAACTGCCCTTTATCCTCACCCGTGTATTGAGTTCCTGTGGCTGATCCAGAAGCCCTGTGCAGTTCTTCATATCTTGCCTGCAGCAGCTCAGAGGGACGCTGTTGTTACCGGTGGAATTAAACCACTGTGTGGTTGTCCAGTCACTGTAGTTCTTTACCCCACAACAATGAAGCTGCCAAACACAGGATAGTTAAAGGGATGTATGAATATATATGAACCCGAATGCTAATGTTGAGTTGAACCTCTCTTACACATCCTGGGCAAGAGCTGCCCGCAGTATGCAGTGGATTTACCAGTAGCAGTATTTCAGGAAAACAGTAGTAGATAGAATAGATCAACTTCCCTTCATACACTATTACCTCCTTATTAGTTTATTCTTTGTGAAAGCTCTAATATTAAAGTGACAGGTTGCAGGATAGAGTCTTCTGTCATCTTTCTATTTTATGGTACAGGATTCTCAGCAGCAGTTACTCATATGTACTCATTTGGTCTGATCCAAAGGCCACTCGTGTCAACGAGATCATTCATTTGCATGAACTTCACACCAGGAGCCTGAAAATGCCAACTCTGCAAAGTGGGGAGCACCCTCAATTGCCTTGGAGAATCAGATGCTAAACACTGCTGCAGAGCTGAGCTCCAGGATACGACCATAGTGACCCTTTTCCTCCTCCCTTCCCAGCCCAAATTCCTTGTTTAGGACCCAATTGGTCTCTTCTAAATAATTTTCAGGACAATTTAAATGTTTTCTTACCTGTTCTTGCAAGTAATCCACAACAGCAGACTCTGGATTTTTCCCATCATACTTCTCAAAGACTGAGTGCATTGTGCCTTGCACATCAGTTTTTACCTATTTAGAGAGGGGAGAAAAAAACCCATATTGTTTTAACATGAGAGCTAAGAATTTTATCTAGTGGAAACTGCAAAAAAACTGTATCCCAACTATGTCAGGAGAACAAAAAAAAAAAAAAAAAAAAATCAAGTGATGTTTTAGATAAAATGCAGGTAGCACTTAACCAGAATCACGTTCCTGGATAGAAGCTTGCCTCCCCTGATGGAAGAGCCCTCCTTTGTGAGCATCAGCAACTCTTTAATTCAACTTAGAGATTGTTGCGATGCCTCCCAGGTACTTTATGTATTCACCATGTTCTGAACAAAGACTGAATCACATACTGGATGGTGACATCCCTGTTCCCACTTGCCCTGCAGATTGCAGGGTAGGGCATGAAGTGCAAGAAAGCTGGATATATTGGAATGCTCCAACAACACAAGATCTATTCTTTACTTTTAGGTTAGTATAGAGACACTAATTCTTTGCTTACCTTTTCCCTGTAAACAAAACCCAGGACAAAAGCAGACACTTCTGCAATAAAGATAAGCAGGATAATGGCCAAGAACTGAAATTAAAAGAGAGAGACTGTAAGGAAGAATTCCACAGCACTTGAATTCAATTGCATATTACCCATCACATTAATTTATAGTAGTAAATTATCGTTATCTGTTGCTGCCTCTCCAATCAAAATAGTTTCCAAAAAATAATTTAGAATAGGAGATTACTGTGCACGGCTGGGACTATGACTGTGGTTCCACAGGATCTGTGCCCAGTCTAGGCAGTCTCCTGAACACTGCCATGATGTGATCTGTGTGAAAAGCCTATGAACACTTCACAAGGCAGCTGTCAAACAGGACACTGCACAAGTAAACCAGCAGCTTAGTTAGGTACGTTGGGCACTGCTTGCTGAGGTCATATTGCCTTCAAGGCATGAGCTGGGGGCCGAAAATTACTCAGCTTGAACCCTTCTGGGGTTTTAAAAATCATTCTAGAATTTTTTTAAAAATCATTCTAGAAGAAGTGGGGGCATACTGTCAGGATTCAGAGAACTAAAGTTACCAGAAAAATACGTTTGGGTGTTTTTTGTTGTGGTGTGGGTTTGGTTCCCCCCCCCCGCCTTGCTTTGGAAATTCACATCTCCTCCTGTTCCCTCACCTTCACCCTTCTTCCCAAAACTTGCTACTCTCCATGCTTATCTCCAGCAAGCTAGCTGAGGCAGAGCCATCAAACTGCCCATGACTGTGGGTATTTATCTGTACAAGGCAGTGCAACTAATAATTTCGCCTGCACCTCACTCACCATCAATCAGTGCATCACAGCAGTACATAACTCCCATGATGGAGCAGTGCTTCAGCAGTATATTTCAAAATAATATTTTACTTTCTGTGCTTCCTGAGAAGGTCTAGTGTCCACCTCCCATATCATGCAACAGGGTGAAGAAGAGGACATGCAAGAACGTGCAACACTCACCAGCCCTAGACCAACTCGAGACTCCCGGAAGGTGGCACAGCAGCCGATCAACCCAATGATGAACATTACCACAGCAACACAAATGATGATCACGGCTGGCAACAGAGCATACTTGTCCTGCAGGAAGTTGTCGTAGCTCTTGTAGGTGTTAATGACATATGCCCCAACATAGCTGAGACCAGCTGCTGCTGCCTGAAATGCAATAAAGCAAGTTATTAGCAGTTATTTATTAAGCATCTGCCCAGGAAAATAAATATGGGCCTTTTTGTAACAGTGCAATTAACATTTCAACTTTAGAAGTAATGACTACAGCATGCAAAGATCTAGAAAAAAAAAAACCCTGCATCTGAAACTAGCTACCCGTTCAAGCTTTAACACAGAGAAGACAAAATCCGCTTCCCGTGAATCACTCCTCTACTAATGAAGCACCACTTTAGCCGAGCTGAAACACAGAGTCTATCGATGTGCATCAGCCAGTGTCTCTGCAGAAGGCCAAGTTCACACTTTATACCCAAGATCACCTACGTTCTACCCAACACTGCATTTGGAGGGATCAGCTTTTAAGCTGGTGGGTTTAAGGTGGGTTGTTGGTTTTGGGCTCTTTTTTTTTTTTTGAGAAAAACTCATCCTTTCCACTCTCAAAAGAGCATTAACCACTAAGACAGGCACAAATGTTCTTGATCTCAGCAAAACACAGTCCCTCCTTTTCCTGGAGGAAACAGACTTCTGCAACCTCTAAAATAAACTCTCCTTCAAAAGGATGTTTTGCTGATTGAGGCCAAGATACAGTGTACCAGTGACAGCTGCCTTGCAAGTAGCCCTGGAGACCGAAGGCTTTTATCCGCAGAACTGGGTACAGCCCTGGAAATAACACTGAGACTCAGTAATGCCCTGCCAATGCCTCACCAATGGCATAAATAAATTCTCTCAAGAGTTACAACAGCTCATCTACCCTCTATAATCCTGCAGCACAAGAAGATGCCTGTAAAAATGAAGCACTGTCTGTACTCATGTTCTGGAAACTCGAGGGAAACTAGTGTGTTTATTTTCAATAGACTACAGATGGATTTCATCATGCAGCTTACGAGCAGTTCATTACTTGCCCCATTGCTGTACGTTTTAATTAAAATTAAACACTCTTCACACTGGAGCTAGGACTTGCTAATTCCTTTACCTTGTTTGGCTCCTTCCCCTCCAGCCAGGTCCGGTGCCTGCCCTTCAATTACCTCCAAGTGCAGGGGACATCCTTCATTTTAGACACCTCTCATCCTACACCACTCTTGCATTCCTGGACACTGCCTGTACCTCAGAATTACCGGGATCAGATACACCAAGTGATGAAACCAGGATCAAACTATCCCTTAGAGACATTTAGCACATGTCATGCAAGGTCCTGCTGTGTTGGGGCTCAGATACGGCAGGTCCTCTACAAAGCGAGATATCAGGAAAAGGAATAGGATCACCAATTCTCAAGAGGTTTTTTTCCTTCTCCACATGCACTGGGTTTTCAGGCAGTGCTAATGATTAAAGCAGTTCCTAAAACTTCCTTTAACTTTTCCTCCCATTGAAGAAAATGTCTTTCTCATTTCCCTGTCTGCAGGCATACAGCAACCAGGTCTTCTTCCTCCCACCCCTTTTTAGGGATGCAGGGAAAGGATGAGACCACTATAGCTCAGAGGGCACCACTGCCTTCTCACTTCACCACCGTGAGCAACCTCCCCTCCTCCTCCTCCAACGCTATGCTCCTGTACTGAAAGTGGGACAGGAAAAGTCCCTGGCGTGGTAGCAGCACTAAAGGTGGGGCTGGGGACATTGCAACTCCATCCTGCCTTGCCTTTGATTGCACAAGAGCAGCGAGGCATATGACTCAAAAAGTGCATCCCATATTTCTGGCCTGGAGAGCTGGATGCATATGTGACTGTCCACCCATTCTCCATTCTGGAACAGCATCATCTGGGCAAGGGCAGCCATGGAGAAGGAAGCGACGCTCCTGGGCTAACTATCCATCATCGTGGAGAAAAGGCGATGATGGGATTTGCCCAATATATCTTTTATTTCTAATATTTTCTAGGACTATCGAGCACCGCGATTGGCCATCTTGGCCCCAAGCCCAGTGAAAACAACACAGAATTACTAGAACTTTCAAGGGGGTTTTCCAGGCTCAAAACACTACAGTACAAGTAGCTCTGCTCCCAAGTTTAAGACAGAGTTTGTAAAGCGGTTTAAGGTAATTTCTATTTTTATTGTAATTCCACAATAGAATTAGTTTTTTCTTTCTTTTTTTTTATTTCTCATAAAAGAAATACCTTAATTCAGTGTTCCTCACCTGGAAGAAAGAAAAAGCCACTTTTCCATTTGCTGGACCAAAAGATGTATTTTATTTGAAACAGATGCTAAAAAATGAGCCTAAAAAAGTTACCCGGATAGAGAGAACTCATTCAAGTTAAAACATTTCTAAGAAAAAAAAAAAACAAACCACAAAACACTAGCATCTTCCTGAAAGTGTCAGTTTTAGCCAAGTCTTTACTTGTTCATTTTTAGAACAGTAGAGAAACTTGGGAGATTCAGAGACACCCGTGAGGAAACTGTGCTTCCCGCTGCCATCCCTAGAACAACCAGAAGCAAAAACAACTTCTTGCAGCAAAGCCAAAGTGATGGAGCTTTCTGTACCCTTCCTCCAGGTGAGCTCCCTCTGGAAGGCTTTAGAGGTTTGCAGGGGAAAACAGTGCAGCTTCCTGAAAAAATATAGTGCCCATCTACTTTATAACTTTTTGCTCAGTCCTTCATAGTTTTTGTGCAGTGTTAATAACCCAAATTTAATGAACACAGCATCATGAATTCTGAGTCAGATCACGGTCACTCAGAATACAAGATTCAAGATGGGATGCAGGAGCTTTTATTAACCACAGAAGTGCTCTGTTCAGCTGGCCCAGCACCAGCTCGGAAAGCGGCTCATACGGTTCCTAAAATGGTTCAGAGTTTGGCCCCTGCTCCCATAGAAGCTGTGGAAAACATCCAAGTAAAAGCGTGATGCTCTGGGACTTAAAAACTTCTCCCTACTTAGCACCATGCGTGGCTAGAAGCATTAAATGAATAATGCTGTAGTTATTGTCCATCTTCCCATCCTGACTGTAACCCCTGACTGCATTTGTTGCTGCATTTTGAAGCCTTCCTGGTAAACATGGGTATGGCTGGAGAGTAATACTATTCTGGTTTCTCAGGTTTTTGGGAAATTTCAGGCAGGTGCACCATGACTCCCCAGCATGCACCAAGTTATAATCCTCCACCATGAACGCAGACACAACATGGTGATGCTCTCGGCCACTGTGCTTGTACCCCAAAATCACCTCCTTGGTCTCTGTGCTGCTGCCATTACCACAAACCTAACACAGAGCTGAGTTATGGCTTTACAAATTCCAGGCTGGAGAAAGTACTCCCAGGTGGTCACCCCAAACCAAAGGTGGAGCCGGCCACTAGCAGCACACAGCCTCCTGCACGTGTATTTTTAAACCAGGCGTTTGCATCTGGGCACAGCCACTAATGAGAACATTTTTCCTGAGGCCATCAGCCTTTGGTACAGCTCAGCACCCAGGTTGGGATGTTCCATCACAGTTGTCATCAACCACTGAGAAAGAAAAAACCGCCCCAAGAAAAAACCAGAAGGACCGTGAGACCCTCCGAAAGGTTTGTGATGGAGGAAGGCAGTCCCTAGGGAAAGGGAGTAGGGGTGACTTTACCACAGGAAAGGCAGCACAAACTGAATAACCAGGGTACAAATAAAGCATAACCCCTGTTTTTGGCAAGTAAATGAGTCATCTGCATTCAGCAGCAATGTCTTGTCAAAACATGCACAACGAAACAGCCTTGTGACTTAGTTAATGTGTAAAAGTTAATGTGCAAAGTGCACAGTTAATCGTTTGTCATATTCACAGAACGTACAGCCCTGCTCTTCTGCGTAACTCCAGTCCCAGCCTTTGCAAGTAGTTCTGTACTTCTAAAGACAGTCTGCTTCATAATTTAATCTTCCTATAGGATGTTTTACACAAAAGAATCCTCCAAGGTTTCCATTATACTTCTACAAGCGATTTAGACAACAGATGCTTTCTTCATCTCTCCTCCCTACTTTACGCCCGGTTTTCTACTTATTTTCAGCGTGCTCAATACGCAACGCAAAGGAAGCACACACAGGAAATGCTAAAGATGGACCAACTGTGGGAAACTAAGAAAAACCTTGTTGCTAGTAAAGAGCACAAATTCAAAAACACGAAAACACGTTGTGAAGCCAGTTCACAGAAGTCCTATACAGCCAGGACTAGCAAAGCTCCACGACAGTAAGCCAACATCAGAGGGTCCAGCGTTGAGTTCAAGGAGATTCTTGCCCAAACTTTATCAATGCAAATACAGACTAGCACTGTCACAGCAGGTTTTATTGCAACATTCAGGATTGTCTGGGTTCTGGTCAGAGACGAAACGCAGCCAGCAAGAGGTCTATTATAGTTTCTGAACTTCTGCTTCTAAGCAGAAGAAGGAAGCGTAATGAGGTAAAAAGACTTTGGGTAAAGAGCTAGCTTAAAGGAAGTTCACATTTTTTCCCCCCACAAACTGAGATACAGCCACGACTTCACTCATGCTTTTTAATTCAAAGTGAAGACTTTGAAGCCTGAAGAGCAGGGTCATTCAGGAGTGGAAGGCATTTAGGTAACGATCTGTTCCCTCTTACTTTTGCAGATGAGTCCCAGAGCCAAACTTGAAAAGTGAAGATGAAAAATATTTTGGAACATAAATCTGAGCTCTCCCCTTAAGCCTTCCCAGTTCTTAAGGCAAGTTCAAATCCCAGTGGAGGGATTTTCCCCTAACATTGCAAAACCTTCAGCCCATTCCTAGATCTACAATGAAAATTCTCTGGAAGAGAAGTACAACAAGGAATCTCCTTTGCACTGCTGAAGACAGACCTTAAGTCAAGAGTAAAAAGTGTAAAGTACACCTGATTAAACAGGTTTCTGTTGATTTAAAAAAAAAAAATCTTTCACAAATACAAAGGCCAGTTTAAGCAATTACTTTTGGGGAGGAAGAGATCAAATAATTTCTTCTTCATGATTAGTCAAACACCTTCTCAAACACATCTACACATTATATACAAGGTTCCCAGGATTATTCTGAGAAATTAATACTAGAAATTGTTATTGTTCTTC